AAAAAAAAAATAGAAGAATAAAATTTTTCTCACTTTTTTTTCTTCTCCCTGTTTCCTTTAACCTCAACATGTGATTTGTAAGTTTATCTTATTTTTCTTCAATTTAATTAGTACTTATTTTAAAAGATGGCTACAATTTAAAAAAGAGGAAAACATTTCCCCCGAGCAAGCGCTGTGTTTTTTTTTTTCCTTAACTTTCCTTCGCGAACAGGCGTTCTTTTTCTGTTTTTAATTAGTATAATTAAAAAATGTGAAATAAAATTATTAAAATTTAAAATCTAAATTTTAAAATTTTAAATATTATTATTCTTTTAAAAAAAATTACGACCAATAAGCACAATAATGGTTGGCCGCGAACAAGCGTTCTTTCTTTTTATTTTTTTGGAATTTAACTGAAGAAAGTTTAGGTTTTTTTTTTTTTTAACTAAAAGTAAGATTTTAACCTTGTCAAATCCACGCCCTTTTTAACGCAATTGATGCTGCTGTGCCACGAACAAGCTTTCTTAAAAGTTGTAGGACTCTTCGATCCCCATGTCCCTAACTTAATTAAAATTTAATTAATGAATGACAGACTTTTTTTTTTTTTGAAGATAGGTAATGGAGAATGACAGACTTTAATTGTTCTCGACAACTGTGAGTGTAATGCGAATCGTACGATCGCAGCTGAGGTGTATACTGCCTATTGTGGAGTATGGACCGCTTACAGTCTGGACTTTGGAGTGTTGCCCCCCACCTGCCTATTGATGAGTCATAATTACCCCACCTGCGTCTTGATGAGTAAAAATTATCCCACCTGCCTATTGATGAGTCATAATTACCTTACTGGGGTGTATACTGCCTATCATGGAGCCTGGACCGCTTACAATCTGGACTTTGGAGTGATGCCGCCCACCTGCCTATTGATGAGTCAAAATGACCTTACTTTTAAAATTAAAAATATAAATATTAAAAGTTTTTCGATAAAATAAATATTAAAATTTAATCAATAAATGACAGACTGTAATTGTTCTCGATAACTGTGAGCATAATTAATATTTCGGCAATTAATACTTTAAAAAAATTAATTAAAAATAAGTATGAGATTTTAATAAAAAATATTATTCACTTTAAATTATCTAAATAAACGTAACATAATTAGAATTATTTTAAATAATATAATTTAAATTAAAATTTATCTAATTTATCCTTTTAATATATAAGTTAATAATTAAAATTTATTTAACAAGATAAATTGTATATAATTTTGTTTTGTAAAATTATTTAATAATTTTTTTAAAAATATATAAAAATAAAATTAAAAATATTTAAATAATTTTTTCAATTAATAATGTATTAAATATATTTTTTATTATAAATTTATATAAAAATAAAAATTAATATTTAATTTATTAATTATTTAATTAAAAAAATTTTTTTGAACATATTTTACAAGGACGGATTTCGAATCTTGTCAAGAGAATGCACTGTTAACTAATGTCATTAGATTTCAAAGACAAGATGCATTTAATTAAATTTATTTACTTAATATTAATTTTATAATATATATTTATAATAAAAATATTTTAAAATATAAATTAAAAAATCTATTAAATTAAATGAGGAGGAAGACTGGTCCCGTTTCTATATTTTATAATCTAAGTCTTTCTCAACTACAATTTTTTTATTTTGATACAGTCTCTCACTTACTGATATGACCAGAGGATGGACAAGGCTGATCTCGCAAATTGACAAGTCTTCTGACAGACAATCTCCTTTAAATCGCCCTTTATTGACACGAATCGTACGATCGGAGCAGGTGTGAATAATAGTACCTTCTGTGGATCCCTCGCAATTTGGACTTCGGATTAGGCCCCCGCTTGCCTATTGATGAATCAAAATCACCTTGTTTTGAAAATTAAAAATATAAATATTAAAATTTAGTCACAGGCAGCAATTGCCCTCGATAACTGTGAGTGCAATTGACACTTTAAAAAAGATGGGCAGTGCTATGGGCACTCGCGCAAAGGCACTCCCTTCAACACTTGCCCTCTTTCTTATTGACACGTCACATAAATATTGAGAGAAAAATGGATATAAACAGATAATTGAACAATAACGGTTACCTTTTTCATTTTTAATTTACCTTTTTCTCACTTTGTACCATTTCTTTTTAGTGAACTGTGATGTTGATTTCGCAGCGAAAATTTCTTTTAGTACGTTTTACTTTGTGATATTTGTAAATACTTTAATTTTTAAAGATATTTTAAATATTTTAAAGTGAATGATAAAAATTAATGTAATTTTTGTAAAATATTTATTTATTTTGTAAATTTATTTTACTTTATATTTTTTATTTGTATAATTTTTTTTCTTATTCCAGACTGTTTTGTAGTAATTTTTTATTTCGTATATTTGTATGAAATTTTTTTAGTTTGATTCGAGAATTAATTATGTTTTAAATTAAATAAATTAGATTTGATAGAAATCATGTTAGTTTCACAAATTTTTATTTATAGAATATTAAAATGTTTATTTAATGTATTAAAATATTTATAAATTAGACATTTAAAATCACATTTTATTTAATGTCAAAAGTATTTGTCGATTGAGTTTTTAAAAGTTATGAAAAAAAATTTTAATTTTATGTCATTTTAATAAATTTTTATTAAAAAATTAAAATAACTTATTGTTTAATCAAAATTAAGTTTTAAAGGTAATAAAGGTAAATGTATAAACTGTTTAAAAATCATTAATTAAAAATGTAAAACATAACAATTATTAAAAATAAAGAAAATGACTTATCTGTAGAACTTACTTTTATATTTAAATATATTTAAGTATGATAAAAGTATTTTTCACGCAAACATAACAATTGAAAAATTAGAGGAGGGTATATATCATCACCAACATAGATAAAATTAGAAAACTAATTCATAGATAACTTTTAAAAATTATTTTTTAATATAATTTTATGTATTATTTTAATAATTAATTTTTTATTTTTTAAAATTAATGATATTGAGTGTATTTATTTATTTAATAATATTAAAAGATTATATAAAAAAATTATCTTTATATCATTATCAATAAAATTAATGATAAATATTATTTAAATAAAAAATTAATGTTATCTATTGTTGTCACATGTTGAATTTTAAGTTATTTATCCAACTTAAAAAGGTTATGAAAATAATTTCTCATTTTTCTGTTATCACATCCATCCCTACCGATAAACTTAAGTAATGTGTTCGAACATTTAGTTTAATGAGTCAGCAATATTCATGTTTATTAATAAAATAACATGTTAATATATATAATTTTCACTTATATAAATAACAAAAAAATAAATTTACTATAAGTTATTAATTATTTTAATTGCAAAAATCTTAAACCACACTAATATGATACATGATAGATAAAAATATCACTTATTACATGATATTTCATATCTCATTATGTGAAAGAATTTATTATTTATTTTTTCAGTTTTACAAAAAAAAATTATATAATTTAAATTATATTAAATTATATAATATTAACACCATTTAATGACCGTAAGTCATTAATTTTGAGGTCTTTTATTATTTAATAAATTCTTATTTAGGTTTCCTATCTTATCTTTCAAAAAACAATAAATATATTATTTTATAATTAATTTTTATTAAAAATGTAAATGTTGATTTTTATT